TATTTTTAATTTTATAATTTTTAAAAATTTTATTTTAATATCTCAAATTACTAATAACATATATAAAAGTAATAAATTAAGATATCAATTAAATTTAATATAATATTTTAATTGACAAGAATATTAATAATTATATTTTATACAATAATATTTAATAAATTTTTTAATAAAATTTAAATATAAAAATTAAAATAATTTTTTTTTAAAATTATAAGATTAAAAATATCAATTTTAAATTTGAGGGACCAAAAATAAATTTATTCTAAATTTGATGAACTAAAAATATATTTAAACTTTCTTTATATGTAAAACACAACTACATGTATAAGATTCAAATTTAATATTTCTTATAACTACTAATTAGTTTTTTTTTAAAATTAAAAAGATTATAAAAATAATCAAATTAAACTCAAATTTTCATACTTTTAATTATTCCAGTACGAGATTTGATCAATGATTAACATATATTTTAGGTTTCATTTTTTTAATATAAATAAATTGTTCAAAGCATAACTTATTAAAATGCAATTTTTTTTTTCAAAAGAAGAAGAAAAACATAAGTGGGTCCACCGAACTAAATAAACCTTGTGCTTCTATTTGTCTCGCTATAATATACTACAAGCTTGAAGCTTGTCAGTTGTCACTCATAGTCATAGTAATCTAAGCCAAAAATCTCTCGGCTTTTTCTCCGGCAGGTGTAGCCGGAACTTCGCCGGAATGTGGAAGCCACGCGCTGTTCCTCGTGCACTCTCTCTGTTTCTTTTTCTTCTTCATTCTCTGGTCTCTGCAAAAGGATCTAACAGAACAACTTGGAACACTCTCAGAGGTTCGTTCTTCTTTCTCTCCCTTCTGTTCTTCACTTCCTGCATGTGATGCTGATTTACCACGAAAACCGGAGGAATTGTTCGAAGCTTACCTTCGTTCTTCTTCGTCGAGTTGGTGTTACTTCCACGTTCTGCTAAAATGATCTGCGCATTTCTTGCATGTAAACTTCAATTGAAATTTTATTGGTGAAAATGGAAATAAACGAGGCTGAGGATTGAGATGCTGCGGTGAACTGTGTTTTTGATTGTGCTTAGAAAATTATATTTGATGTTTTTAGAACTAGTAATTCTAAAATTTGCGTGAGAGTTTTGGAGTGCGAGCATGGAATCAACTTGTTGAAGTTGGTGTGGCTGAGTTGTTATCAGAAACTGGTAAATCTGTTTTTGCATGCGATCATGGTTTTAAACTGTGGTCGCGTCCACGATTTCATCGTGGTCCTTCATGTTGCGGCAAAATGTGGTTACGATTGCTGTTGTAGAGACCTCATAAACCTTGTTGTTGTAGCAGAAATAGCTGTCACGGACTGATTTTTAAAATCTTGCACGCGATAAATGGAAGTTTTGCTAGCATATAGCTAGTGGAAATTGGAGATATTCAACGCATTTAGTATATGGAGAAGTTATGATTTATAAATCATTAAATATAAAGAAATTTGAAGAAAAAATAGTTTGTAGGTTTATAGTGTGTAACATGGGGAAATTAGTCTCAAGAGCATACTTTTGGTGAAATGGACTGTTTCTGAATTTGAAAAATTTAAATCTTTGTTTGGTAATAATGGAGAGGTCTTCAACAATGAATACAACTCTAGATATAATTAGATCTTAAAGTTTTCTTCCTTATATAAATTAAGAAGCCACTGTGAATAGTATTTGACATGTACTTGAATGATTTATGCTCTTTTTGTTTTATTTAAAGAAAAACTTCTGCTCTGTATTCTGTGTCTTGAAACTCACTTGGACAAGCTTTTTGTTGCAGGAAGTCCACCATTGGTCATAGCACGTGGTGGTTTTTCAGGGATATTTCCTGATTCCAGTGACGTAGCCTATGAGTTGGCTAAAGAAATTGGTTTAAGAAACCTCATTGTATGGTGTGATGTGCAATTAACGAAAGATGGGGAGGGGATCTGCTTCCCAAACATCAATCTTGAAAATGCTACTCACATTGATCAAGTTTTTAAACATAGAAATAGTACTTACTCCGTCAATGGTGTTCAAACCAGTGCCTATTTTGCTGTGGATTTCACCTTTAAGGAGCTGTATTCCAATGTCAACTGTAAGTTCAACTTACGTTTAAGATGTAATTTTATTGTTACATACTTTCAGTGATTGATGAACTAACTGGTTCTTTTCTACGTTTTCAACATATCCAACACTAACACCTTTATTTTATAATAATTTTATAAGATAACAGTAACAAACACTTTAATTTAGGTTTGTAATTCTTGTTGTTAAGATTCATGGTAGGATCTATGAACATACAGGGAGAGAGAGAGAGAGAGAGAGAGAGAGAGAGAGAGAGAGAGAGAGAGAGAGAGAGAGAGAGAGAGAGAGAGAGAGAGAGAGAGAGAGAGAGAGAGAGAGAGAGAGAGAGAGAGAGAGAGAGAGAGAGAGAGAGAGAGAGAGAGAGAGAGAGAGAGAGAGAGAGAGAGAGAGAGAGAGAGAGAGAGAGAGAGAGAGAGAGAGAGAGAGAGAGAGAGAGAGAGAGAGAGAGAGAGAGAGAGAGAGAGAGAGAGAGAGAGAGAGAGAGAGAGAGAGAGAGAGAGAGAGAGAGAGAGAGAGAGAGAGAGAGAGAGAGAGAGAGAGAGAGAGAGAGAGAGAGAGAGAGAGAGAGAGAGAGAGAGAGAGAGAGAGAGAGAGAGAGAGAGAGAGAGAGAGGATTCTTCTGTATTAACTGAATCTAAAAATTATGAAGTTATGAGTGTATCATCTATTCACTGAGATAAGTACAAGCTATTTATGTAGTCCTGTTATAGGTAACAGAAATTATGTAACTGTCTAACTTGCAAAAACTGTTGACAGCTGTCACTAACAACTGTGTGCTAGACTCATACTCTGACTAATACATATACAGCAACACATTTTAAGTTGATTGGAGGACGGAAGTGGAGAAGAAAGAAAATTTAGGAAGAAAACCCTGAGCCCTGAGGTTTACATCTGGGATTCTTTTTCTTCTGAACCTTGAAGATAGTGCTGCACGCCTGCACCCATTCAGAAGCTACATATTTTATTTCTACTTTCCACTCTTAGATACTCTGGTACAGTAGGAACGTCCTGACTTGGACACTAATGGGAGAAAACATGGTGCCTTGGATTTAATAACTTGCGATTATCATCCAAAAGAAACACACCATATAAGCTAAATAGGAGGGCCTATATAGTGTACTTGGTAATCATGCTATCAAATTACTGAGATATTGTACTGCCAAATATAAAAGTGGAATATAGTCTATGTTTCATCAGACTGTTTGCTGAATGCATGAAAGTTTATTCCTAAGCAAATATGAAATTTATGACAAAGAAGTTATATTCTTGCTAGATTAAGTCAGTCCTTATTTCTTTTATTCGATATCAAGCTAACCTTAATTCATTTTGGGTTATCCCTTTCAAGTTAGTTCTCTCATTCATATGATCACCATCTTCAATTAGTATTACACTGATAGTTATTATTTTGATAATTTAGTCTCTTTGCAACTTAGACATTCAAGAATAATGAGTTACGCCTAATAATAGATTGTTTTGAGAGTGATGTATACTATCTGACTATAGAAATTGGCATTTTGGAAGCCTTTAGTTGTATATACCCATATTTCCTTATTTCACTTTGAGTAAGAGATGTGGGTTATAACGATGATAGTAGAACAATACGTAAGCTTTTGATAGTTTTATGCCAAAATCTCTCTTTCAATCTTTATAAATGAATTGAGATCTTCATCCCTGTTCTCCAAAACAAATTTAAAGTTTCAAGCTGTAATATCTACATTTTACTCATGAGTCATCAGTCGGTGTGAAATTTCTCTCTATCTTTGCTTTTGAGCTATATATATTTCTGACTTTTTTTGGTTGCTGGACAGTGGTTCAAGGAGATTCTGTTCGATCAGACAGGTTTGATGACAGTGATTATAAAATTCTTACTGTGAATAGTTTGGTTGAACTATTATCTCTGCCAGGATTGTGGTTGAATATTCAGGTATAATGCATTTTCATCACCCAGTATTCTAGATTTTCCAGAACTAAGACCGTTCATTTATGATATTTTGCAGCATGAAGCATTCTACTCACAACACAATTTGAGCATGAAAAACTTCGTACTTTCTGTTTCTAGAACAGTAAATGTCGATTATATATCATCACCTGAAGCTGGTTTCCTGAGAAGTATAAGTGCACACATCAACCCAAGAATAACAAAACTGGTCTTCAGTTTTCTGGAAAAAGATGATGTAGATCCATCAACCAATCAGACTTATGGTTCACTTTTGAAGAATCTAACATCTATCAAGACATTTGCTTCAGGAATTCTTGTTCCCAAAGGATACATATGGCCTGTAGATCCAACAAGTCTTTATCTACTACCACATACATCTTTGGTCTCTGATGCGCACAAAGCAGGGCTGGAAGTCTTTGCTGCAGATTTTCTGAATGATGTTCCAATAAGCTATAACTACAGTCATGACCCAGTTGCTGAGTGCCTCAATTTCATTGACAATCGAAACTTCTCTGTTGATGGTGTGCTGTCTGACTTCCCCCTAACACCATCAGAAGCTATAGGTAAGTTATGTTTTTCTCCATCTTATTAGAATGGCCTTCCATAAATATAATGCATTTGAACTGATCAGATCTTGTTTACTATTTTCATTTATGTTTCTTCTGAAACTGTTTTTTGTTCATTGGAATGGAGTTGATGCAGCTATGATCCTGTTACTCGTGTACTAATGGCCTTGTGTGAATAGCATATTAGTGAATCACCTTAACATAGTGTTTGGTTGGTGGGGAGGGGAGGGGAGGGTTTTTAAAAGCTTTTTTTGTCTGGTTCAATTTTTAGGAGGGGAAGCAAAATCCCTCCTAACCATAGTTTTAAAAACCGGACCGGTTATCGAACCGGTTAAGGTATTAGGTTAGTGGGTCAAAGGTTGAACCGGTGGGTCACTAGTTGAACCGCATGACTCGAATTTTATTAAAAAATATTTATATTAAATATATTTTATACTTACAAATTTTAATAAATTCATATCTTATTTTAAATTTCAATTTTTCTATCTTATTTAAAATTATTTTTATTTTTATTTTGTAAAAAAATACATAAAAAAATTACATGTTAAACGGTATATTAATACAAATTAAAAATATAAATAATATGTACATATATAATATGCTTGCAATT